TAACGGAAATGTTAAAGGAAAGAGGGGATTGGGACTAACGGAAATGTTAAATGAAATGAAATGGGGGATGGGGACTAACGGAAATGTTAAAGGAAAGAGGGGATGGGGACTAACGGATATGTTAAAGGAAAGAGGGGATGGGGACTAACAGAAATGTTCAAGGATAGGTGGATGGTGACTAACGGAAATGTTAAAGGAAAGAGGGGATTGGGACTAACGGAAATGTTAAAGGAAATTGGGGATGGGGATTAACGGAAATGTTAAAGGAAAGAGGGGATTGGGACTAACGGAAATGTTTAAGGAAAGAGGAGATGGGGAATAACGGAAATGTTAAAGGAAAGAGGGGATGGGGACTTACGAAAATGTTCAAGGAAAGAAGGGATTGGGACTAATGAAAATGTTAAAGGAAAGAGGGGATTGGGAATAACGGAAATGTTAAAGGAAAGAGGGGATGGGGACTGACGGAAATGTTCAAGGAAAGAGGGGATTTGGACTAATGAAAATGTTAAAGGAAAGAGGGGATTGGGACTAACGGAAATGTTAAAGGAAAGAGGAGATGGGGAATAACGGAAATGTTAAAGGAAAGAGGGGATGGGGACTTACGGAAATGTTAAAGGAAAGAGGGGATTGGGACTAACGGAAATGTTAAAGGAAATGAAATGGGGAATGGGGACTAACGGAAATGTTAAAGGAAGGAGGGGATGGGGACTAACGGAAATGTTAAAGGAAATGAAATGGGGGATAGGGACTAACGGAAATGTTAAAGGAAGGAGGGGATGGGGACTAACGGAAATGTTAAAGGAAAGAGGGGATGGTGACTAACGGAAATGTTAAAGGAAAGAGGAGATGGGGACAAACGGAAATGTTAAAGGAAAGAGGAGATGGGGACAAACGGAAATGTTAAAGGAAAGAGGAGATGGGGAATAACGGAAATGTTAAAGGAAAGAGGGGATGGGGGCTAACGGGAATGTTAAATGAAATGAAATGGGGGATGGGGACTAACGGAAATGTTAAAGGAAAGAGGGGATTGGGACTAACGGAAATGTTAAAGGAAATGAAATGGGGGATGGGGACTAACGGAAATGTTAAAGGAAAGAGGAGATGGGGACTAACGGAAATGTTAAAGGAAAGAGGAGATGGGGACTTACGGAAATGTTAAAGGAAAGAGGGGATGGGGACTTACGGAAATGTTAAAGGAAAGAGGGGATGGGGACTAACGGAACTGTTAAAGGAAAGAGGGGATGGGGACTTACGGAAATGTTAAAGGAGAGAGGGGATGGGGACTTACGGAAATGTTCAAGGAGAGAGGGGATGGGGAATAACGGAAATGTTTTATTAGCTTCTCGATGTAAAATATCATTTCGCACAATTTATTTTGCAATCGCAATCGATGATGCTTACAACTCTTAACTTGTTATTCTGTGACGTCATGCACGTGTGTGTATCTCATCTCCAGAAAAACGTTCCAAATTAAGATTTTAGACTTAGTTGTTTGATTGATGACGTACATTGACAAAAATGATTCATAATATCAATTTTTAATTGTTACTTTAATTTGACAAGGGAGATACAGCCAACATGAATTAAACATGTGTAAACGTTGTGTATTAGGATTATTTTCAAGATAATATGTAAAGTGTATGCATGTTTGTCTTTTCAGTGGTGCCTCAACTTATTCTAGTGGAGAATGTCCGACCAAATAAATGTCAAGTAAGTAGTGAGTCAGTCATATGGAAGATATGGTATTCAGTTGACTTTTTATGAATGGAGAAATATATAAGGTAGTCTATAGAAGATGAACAGTTTATCACACAAACCCTGAAAACTCCTTGTGATAGTCAATATTTTACCTGGCAAAAAAGGAATGACATCTGAAGGGAACCGTTCCTCACCATAACCAATTCGGGATCCGCCCCTCTCCGTGCACACAAAACTATAAATAGACAATAATAACGGTAATTTGGGGAGGGGGGTAAGGAGGGGCAACCACGGCCTTAATCCCTCTATGGGCCTGGTCCCATGGTCACTAAATATATAATCCCCCTCGACGAATCACAGTTGGGATCCTCAGCCTTACGAAATCGAGATACGTCCCTTCCCGACACACACATGATCTTGACCCGTTCCACACCACATCTGCCACCGATCACTGTAAACTAATGTGTATGATGTGTTACATATTAATTAGATGTCACAACTGTTTCCTATATCCTGATTGGTTAGTTTATTATCACGTGGAGGTCGGTAATTTGTGATATTAACTCGCTGCTACTACATGCACTTTTAGAAACAGCCAGTCAATGTTGTCTTTATGATTATATTTAAATGTAGTACTTTTCTTCTTACATTTTCCATATGTTCTATTTAGTTTAATGATTAAAAGATTTTTTTCGGTGAATATGTGACTATATGGACCTGAAAAAGTTATATAGACTTCGACATCGTCTCGGTTAATACAAAATGTATAACTTGTTCAGGTTCACATAATCATATATTCACCTCAACGAAAGTCCATAATTGATAAATAATGTATATATTTAATCCCGTTTTCTTTTATTTCAGCCGCTTCATCTAGACGGACCACACCAAGAAAACTGAATATGAATATATCTTACTATTATCTGCAGTCGTTCTAAAATGAAAGAATTGTAATCAGTTATCTGTCAATAAAAGCTTGTTCTGTATTACACGTTTGGGTTTATATTTAGTAAATGAAATATACATTTTTTAATTTCGTTTCGACGTATTTCAAAATTTGGTTTGGCTGTGCTTTACGTCATATTACCAGCTATAGTAGTTTAAGGACGTGCCAAGGTTTGGTGGTGGAGGAAAGCCGGAGTACCCGTAGAAAACAAACCGACCTGCGTTTAGTAGTTGGCGACAGCCCCACGTTCTTCACAAGCAAACAATGGAACAGGTGACATTTTCGCTAAGATAACGCATTAATTACTAAACCACCATGGACGAATTGTACGTACTAACTTACTGACACATTATGATATGTATCACGTACATAAACTGTTATCAGTATAACGATACGAATTACGTAATTGTTTTGAGTTATTGGCACAGGTTTATCATTTGTACTATTGGTGCATCAGACTATTAAGCAATTGCACAGATTTGGGCATATTTTTAATTGACGGAAAGGCCCAGAGATATCCGACCGCTGTTTGTAACCTAACGAAAAAGGTAACACTAGAAAACACTATCTTGTTCTAAAAAAAAAAAAAAATGTTTTACCATTGTGTATACATTTATTATAAACGAATAAGAAATACTCAGAACGATAAAAAAAACTTTGTCATTTTATAGTTAATCTTATTATTAAAAAAGCTTTTATAATCATAACATCTATCACCATATCATTGCAGAAGCCCCTTACAATTAGAACGGGTACACACAGAGGGCCGAACAAAATATACAGCTACCACACAGGGTACACACAGAGGGCCGAACAAAATACACAGTTATCACACAGGGAACGCACGGAGGGCCGAACAAAATACACATTTACCACACAGGGTACACACAGAGGGCCGAACAAAATACACAGTTACCACACAGGGTACACACAGAGGGCCGAACAAAATACACAGTTACTACACAGAGTACACACAGAGGGCCGAACAAAATACACAGTAACCACACAGGGTACACACAGAGGGCCGAACAAAATACACGGTTACCACACAGGGTACACACAGAGGGCCGAACAAAAAAACCAGTTACTACACAGGGTACACACAGAGGGCCGAACAAAAAAAACGTTACTACACAGAATACACGCAGAGGGCCGAACAAAATACACAGTTACTACACAGGGTACACACAGAGGGCCGAACAAAATACACAGTTACCACACAGGGTACACACAGAGGGCCGAACAAAATACACAGTTACCACACAGGGTACACACAGAGGGCCGAACAAAAAAAACAGTTACTACACAGGGTACACACAGAGGGCCGAACAAAAAAACCCGTTACTACACAGAATACACGCAGAGGGCCGAACAAAATACACAGTTACTATACAGGGTACACACAGAGGGCCGAACAAAAAAACTCGTTACTACACAGAATCCACGCAGAGGGCCGAACAAAAAAACCCGTTACCACACAGAATACACACAGAGGGCTGAACAAAATACTCAGTTACCACCCAGGGTACACACAGAGGTCCGAACAAAATACACGGTTACCACACAGGGTCCACACGGAGGGCCGAACAATAAACAGTTACTACAAAGGGTACCCACAGAGGGACGAACAAAATACACAGTGACTACACAGGGTACACACGGAGGGCCGAACAATAAACAGTTACTACCCAGAATACACACAGAGGGCTGAACAAAATACTCAGTTACCACCCAGGGTACACACAGAGGTCCGAACAAAATACACGGTTACCACACAGGGTCCACACGGAGGGCCGAACAATAAACAGTTACTACCCAGAATACACACAGAGGGCGGAACAAAATACACAGTGACTACACAGGGTACATGCAGAGGGCTGAACAAAATACGCAGTTACTAGACAGGATACACACAGAGGGCTGAACAAAATACTCAGTTACCACCCAGGGTACACACAGAGGGCAGAACAAAATACACAGTTGCTACACAGGGTACACACAGAGGGCCGCACAAAATACACAGTTACTATACAGGATACCCCCGGTGGGCCGAACAAAATACGCAGTTACTAGACAGGATACACACAGAGGGCCGCACAAAATACACAGTTGCTACACAGGGTACACCCAGAGAGCCGAACAAAATACACAGTCACTATACAGGGTACACACAGCGGGCCGAACAAAATAAAAAGTTACTACACAGGGCACACACAGAGGGCCGCACAAAATACACAGTTGCTACACAGGGTACACACAGCGGGCCGAACAAAATACGCAGTTACCACACAGGGGAGACACAGAGGGCCGAACAAAATAAACAGTTACTACACAGGGTACACGCAGAGGGCTGAACAAAATACACAGTTACCACACAGGGTACACACGGAGGGCCGAACAAAATAAACAGTTACTACACAGAATACACACAGAGGGCCGAACAAAATATAAAGTTACTACACAGGGTACACACAGAGGGCCGAACAAAATACAAAGTTAATGCACAGGGTACACACAGAGGGCCGAACAAAATACAGTTACTACACAGGGTACACGCAGAGGGCCGAACAAAATAAGAAGTTACTACACAGGGTACACACAGAGGGCCGAACAAAATAAACAGTTACCACACAGGGTACACACAGAGGGCCGAACAAAATACAAAGTTAATGCACAGGGTACACACAGAGGGCCGAACAAAATAAACAGTTTCTACACAGGATACACACAGAGGGCCGAACAAAATACACAGATACTATACAGGGTACACACAGAGGGCCGAACAAAATAAACAGTTACCACACAGGGTACACACAGAGGGCCGAACAAAATACAAAGTTACTACACAGGATACACACAGAGGGCCGAACAAAATAAACAGTTACTACACAGAATACACACAGAGGGCCGATTAAAATACAAAGTTACTACACAATATGACTAAGTCGTCCCTTTTAGGACTCATCGATGGTAATAAAGGACCTTCATGTATATATATATACATAATCCCATGTTCAAATTTAATTGGCAATTAAATAGGATTTAAGAAATAATGGACAGAGGAATAAAAATCTTTACCTGAAATATTCTGGGAAACAACTGTTTAGCAATACAGGAAGCCAAGCAATGTTAATATTTATGCAAAATACGAAAAATGACAAATATCATGCAACACCATTAGCAACACAAACATACTCTATAAAGGTCATCTAATTACTTAAAATCTGGAAACACGTCAAAGACATCCAAACCTGTACAATCTTGCGAAAAATGAACATACTACATTGTAAACTAAAAAAGTATATCTCCGGGCGTTGGTCTGATTTCCATTTATTAATAATGCGTTCTTTTGCTATTTGACTGATCGTTTTTCTCTCTAAAAGAATGAATTTTAAAAAAGCCGTTAGAACAATCAAACAATCTCTTCACTAGGCACTGTACAGTATGCTACGCCAGTCTTTGGGACTTTAAAGAAATCTCTATTAATTCTAAAAAAATGAAATCCTAGATGACCGGAGATGGCTTTTAAGCACTTTTGAGAACAAAATGAGGATAATTGTTCATTACATACAAACATCAATATCTTGCAAATTATTTTCCATTCAACTTTAAAATTGGGTCATTATTTGGCAATACACCCAATGTCACCCATTGGACTTTTGGATATTAAAGGAATTTAAAAGGTTATACAATACTCAAGTAAATACCACAGGTATTTTTATAATTATTATCAAAGTAGAAAGATACAAGTATGGACGTAAAGATACAATTTGGACAGTACCACTACCTGGCTTAAAATAACTGAAGATCAAACAGCATTTCATAAATGTTAAAAATATTACATTTATAACTGTAAATTTATAATTCATTTTTTTTTTGGTTGAAAATTATGAGCAACGCCAGGGGTGTACAAATTATGATAATATAAGTAAAGGTTATATGTCTAGAAAGATAAAAGTCTATAAAAAAAATAAAAAAATAAAATGGTTATGTCAACAACAAAGATCCCCCTCCCAAAGTATGAGGTACATTCTGAGGCTCTAAAGCAAACCCAACAGACAACTTGTTTTACCAAACAACGAAGTATTTTGTTATAGTAGTACATAATGTATTACTATAATGAGTAGTCATTTGTGTTTTGACCTCTGGAAACCTGGTTTCTGTGACTCGTGATGCTCTCCATTTAGTTTGATGCCTCACTGGACCGGTTATTGTTTTATCATCCATACATACATAAATAGCGTGTTTTTCTCAATAAAATTCACTACTTATAATTGAAAAAACACTCGATATTTCTCAATCTGGTACTACATCATTTATTGACTATTTCCGAGTACTAGATGGTTCGCACGCTACACCTGTATATTTTATATTTCCATCCGTGCTTTCTTTAACTTCGATTGTTATCCTTGTGTGCTTTAATATTAATGCAGTACGGTTTTGCTATTTAATCTTCATAGTTCGTTTTCATTTTTGTTTTATGACGTCATAAGTTATCTTCAAACACCAGTTACATGTAAACGTACATGTATATAAGCCGTTGCATGCGAGGATGAATGTCAATATATATGTATTGGAGAGGAAAGTACAGTGTCAGATCAAGTAACTACTAACATGATGGGGTATTTACCAAACATTGCGAGTCGGCGCGTCCGATATTCCGTCTTTTTACACAAATATATATAATCGTTAAACGATATATATATGTGAAGGACTTTGCACATACTTTTAATCACAGGTGTAGCTTGTCATAAAATGTTCCGTCCCTCCATCAAGATCCCTACCCGACCCGCGGGCAATGGGGGTAGTGGTCGGATTCTGAGATGCGATAAAAATAATCCTATACTTGTGCAAATGGAAATTATGCCTATTATAGACATGATTTCCATTTGCACACACACCTCACACCCTTGAAAATGTTAGTGTGTGTGTGTGTGTGTGTCTGTTGAGAGGTTATAGTAGACAGTTCAAGTTAATTTGGTGAAGTTTTAGGGGGATGGGATACCGACCCTACACCAGTAGTCTCATATTATTGGGAAATATATTTACGGCGGTAAGTAAATATATGGCCGAGCGAAGCGAGGCGACAATTTTAGGCATAAGTTTTTAAAGTAAAAAAACAAAATCGGTGGTAAAAAAAAAAGGGGGGTCCAGAATTTTGGCTTTTATAAATACTTCCATTGATCCAGTATGGCCCTTTTTATAAGGGGCATTAAACTTCACCGACACATCTATATCTTGTACAGGCTCATGACTGTTCTAGCAAAAAAAGTGTTTTCGAGATCTAGATTCACTGAGAAGGAGGCGGGTCGCATGGTGAGATGAACATTTGACGATGTAAACAAAATTGTAACATTGATTGATAAAATGGCACTTAATTTCAACCGATGACAACATTTATCAAGAAAGTCACACATTGCAGTGTAGATAATACAGTAGAGTTTGATATGAACAAGCTTCCTTTTACTTGGTTTTGCAAGATAACTTTGTTACGATGTACGTTTGAGCATAACACGGTTACCTGTATTTGCCCAGAAAAAAAGGGGGAGGTGTATTATAAAGCAAAACTCTCTCTGTTCCAATGTTTGAGTGCTAATTCACATACCCAAATTATCAGTAGAGAAAAAAACACCTGTTTATCAATATACACGGACCTGGGAATTTGTTATAGCTATACATTAGCCTGAGTTTCTTCTGGCCTTGACACCAGGCTTAGACATTTTGACAGATACATTATGTATCTATCTGTCAAAATGTCTAAGTCTGGTGTCAGGGCCAGAAGAAAAAACTTGTGCTATAGATATATTTGGACTTAAACTGAGGTGTTCAGAGTAATATTACACCTTTTATTGGTTTAGATCAATTTTCGGTAAAAATGACACACTCCATGATAGTATATCTATTAGGAGAAAGAGAAATATGCAATGGCCAGGCCAGGGTTCCAACCTGGAAGCCTCCGATGCTCTAGACAGATGCTCTACCAATTGTGCTGCCCGGTTGCCGACGATCAATGTACAAAAATGTTTAATACCTCTGGAAAGATGGATAATGTTTTCTTTTATAAACCTCCTAAATGCATGTAATGTATTAATTCTCATTCCACGGAAATGATCTCGGTTTCCACTGACATCATAGGCCGTTTCGATTTTTCAAAGTTTTTCGCAGCCACTTTTTCTATCCATGAGGGCAACCTCATGTTCTGGCGACACCCTACAATCCTGTTGGCTGGTACCTTTGTAAATCTATATACAGATTCCCTGACATACCTTTACAAGCCAAAGGTATTTGAGGTATTTGCTGGAGCATGCCAGTTTATTATATATTTATTCCTGCATGTACCAGGTATGCTCAGAAATGATAGGGGGATGCAATAACATAAACCTTGTACGGATGTCTTTTGTATTCAGTTGGAGGAGTGACGAAGAAAGAGAAGAGAGCCATGGGAATTTACTTCAAAATAGTGCTTTCTAGTTTGCTGTTGGTCATAGTACAACATATGGCCAGGCTCATGTAAGTGTTGTATTAATCCCTGCATGCTTGTTAAGTTAAGTTAATTGATTGACACACACAAAGAGGCCTCTATCAATACACCTATAAAATAATCTATGGGTGTATAATTGACAGATGAGGCTAGTACCTGTGCTGTATCCATTTCTAATTTACAACTTGAAATTGATGTATGTCTCTTAAGGTGGCTCCACACATCGTCATCAGCATCCATTTTCGTGCGTACTTCTGGAAAAAGTACAGCTCGGACTCAATTATCTTGATCGAAATGTGCATGTACACTGTGTCGTCATTTCCGTATTGCGTATCGGGCATTCAATATCGTAGTGCAAATTATAGTTACACCTTGCAATTGACTTTTAAGATATCTTGTGTTTTTTCGGGGACCAAGTCTCAGTAGTATAATTCTGACCAAAAATGTGATTTTCTGTTATTCTAATATATTTGTATTTATAATTTTGTATGGAAAACTATTCCCTACATCTGACTCGAGGTCACTCTGAGTTCAAATTACAACTATAATCTCTAAAAAAATATCCCCTTGACAGTTGCATATATATTATATTTTACATGTTCTGAATGGAATAAACAGTGTTCCCTTTGAATTTTACATTTAAGGGTATATTTGATACATTTTCCAAGGTTCTGTACCCCTAGGTACTTAGTTACATATTGGTCGATCCTTGAAAACTGGGGGTACATCTAACTGGGGGTAAAAATTACAGTGTATAACTATAAGACCTAATTGATAAAAGTCTTCTCAACATAGAAATTTCATTTAAAATCCCTGTGTTAATGATATTGGCCCTGTGGAGCTATTATTATGTCAGACTACAAAATGTTTGTGTATGTTCGTGCTGCAGATACACCCTCGGATTCCACAAACATATATACAATCATGAACCTGGTCCGTGTAAATACCTGGACGGAGTTGGTAAGTATATGTTGGTTCAAGAACACTGTAATAATAATAATTTGAGGTTCTTATATACCGCTTTATTACAACCAAGTTCGTAGGTTGTCTTGAAGCAGTTCACAAATTATTATCCGTTGTTATAGGGCCTTCGCAACCAGCCAATACCTTTCTCAACTCCCTGGGGAGCATACAACCGGTGCTGCCATTTTGGCGATCACAGCTAACATTCAACAATTCGAGCACTGCCCAACCACATACTCATTTACAGCTGAGTAGACTGCAATAAGCGGAGTAAAGTATCTTGCTCAAAGATACAACACAGTGCCGTGACTTGAACCAGTAACCCTTCGGTCATGAGCCCGGCCTCCTACCACTAGACTACCGTGCCTCCCAACCCTTCGGTCGTGAGCCCGGCCTCCTACCACTAGACTACCGGGCCTCACAACCCTTCGGTCGTGAGCCCGGCCTCCTACCCCTAGACTACCGTGCCTCACAACCCTTCGGTCGTGAGCCCGGCCTCCTACCACAAGACTACCGTGCCTCACAACCCTGTGCCTCACAACCCTTCGGTCGTGAGCCCGGCCTCCTACCACTAGACTACCATGCTACTTTAATTTTGGCCATTAAAGACATTTTCTCCCTCTGCAACGAGAACAAATTCATCATGACAGTGAACATTAGTACACATCATGCTGTATATATAACTTAATGTGAATGGCTAAATAAACGCTTGGCCAACATGGACGATATGACAGGCGAATACTTGACTGGACGACAGTTTCTCGGTGTATACAATACCACGTGCACTATCACATGTACAGTGCCATGCATTACATCAATTTTCAAATTAAACGGAACAAGCTCATGATATAATTAACTTGTTAGGTTTAATTTCTCGAGACTTCTAACATGACTTTGTTCAATGTTCCTTTACTGTGAGGTTCTACAGTTTTTGCACTCGATGATACTGCATATACAGCAGTCGATACTATTAGTTTTAAGCCTTTATCATTTTGATATGAATTATGATGAATTATATTAAGGACAATAAGTATGGATGTGGAACCAAAAAGTCATATAGACCCTGGGGGTTTTCACTGGAGAAAAACATAATATACATTAATAAATTACATTTTATACAATTTTTTATTGTGAGTGTTTTCTCAATTTTGTTATATTTATACGTTTCAGATTTTGGATCTGAAGACATCGCCACACTTCCAGACGGAAAGGCCTTTATCACTTCTGTAAGATAGCATTCGGAAAGATGTAGATATTTGTTAAAATGCCTTTGTGAAAAGTAAAGTAATCTGGAATTAAAAGTGTTTTAAAGACATACATGTAATGAGATCAATTACGTTTGTCAAAAGCTATTAAACAGTTTAACTTTGTCTATTTTCAACATTGACATCAATCATTTAATGAAAATCAACAAAATAGATGACTTTCAATGTATCAAACATTCAATGTGCTGCATGCCTACCTTCAACAACAGAGCTAAGAAAGGAGCTGTTTCTATATCTAATATGGAATTGGTAAATGACAATTGGAATCAGAAAATGCAAACTAATTAAATTTCATTGTAACTATAAAACATCAGTCCATTGCTAAATAAAAGTAGATTACATTTCAAAATACAGTTTTGATTGATTCTGCAGTCATGTCATGGAAATTGACGAAAAAAATCATCTGAAAAAGAAAAAAAAATACAGATAAGCCTATATGATATTGGTATATACAGATAAGCCTATATGATATTGGTATATTGCATTGTTAGAAGCATGTTATAGTCTTTTGTGAAACCTTCTTTTCAGGGCCTTTTGATGCCATCTGCTACAGCAACCTATCGACAAATGTATGCTGACAAAGGAGTCAAAGGTCAGATTTTTCTCTTTGACTTCAAGGCCCCCGGTTCAGGACTCACTCCATTAACCATACAAGGGGACTTCAACGCCTCAGATTTCTCCCCTCACGGCATTGACTACTGGCAAGACAAGGCATCAGGTTTGTTTGAGATCAATTTTCTTTTCTTAATGTCTTGATTTTGAAAAATGTTCATATATATACTGGTTTACGAAATCCTATAAAAAAATAAAGAATAGACTTTGACAAGATTACAGGGTTCAGATGTGTTACAAAGTTCTAAATGTATGTTCTGAAACACAAAGAGACTGAAGTTCTTCTGAAGAGCACACACTCTGCGAGTAATAATGTATGACCAGCAACTTGCTGAAATCTGGTGCTAAACATTTTTTTTTTTTTTTTTTTATCTAGACCTTAAAATGTATATTCAAGGCTACAGGCTTTAAGGGGCCATTTGTTAAAATACTCAATCAACTTTTGAAAACAAAATATATCACACTTGACATAGCAACGCTGTTCATCGTTTTTTTGCCATTAACTTAAATACGCAATAACTCAAACAATTGTTCTTCAATTTTTTGTCAAACTTGGTAGGATGTTTCATTACCTGAATTCATTGGATGAGTTCTTAAATCGAGATATTTAAATGCTATTCGGTAGAGTTATGCCCCTTTGTCATTGCCAAATAAGGGCATTACGTTGAAAATGCAAGAACTTTTTAATTATTTGTTCAAAACTCCTCCCTCTAAGCCAAGGTTCTAGTTTTAGTATAGCTACATTGACCACGAAAGTGTAATTCTGAAACACAAAATAGCTTGTGCCATACACACAGTAAGTGATAGGTAAGGTCACAGTCACCAACAAAACGGTGTCGGTAAACATATTTTATATCGTATGTCACTACCTGCTTCCAATATATCAATACCCTTACGAGGGTCTGGCGGGCATACACTGTGTCATGCTTCCACTCGCGGTGCCCTTGTTTGCCTTGTAAGATAATGTTGTTTGAACTTATAATATTATTTAATAATTTGGGAATGAGGATACTTAGATATATTCTTACAGCCAAAGCCATTATCATATTTCGATCAATTCTCCAGGAAAAGTGTATATCTTTGTGGTGAATCATCGAAGAAAGCTGGATGCTGTGGAAAAATTTGAATTCATTCCTTCAGCCAAATCTCTGAAACATGTCCATTCCTACGTAGACCAGGCCATCTACTTGTGAGTATACCATATCTACAGTGAGTATACCCTATCTACAGTGAGTATACTATATCTACAGTGAGTATACCCTATCTACAGTGAGTATATACCCTATCTACATTGAGTATGCCCTATCTACAGTGAGTATACCCTATCTACAGTGAGTATACCCTATCTACAGTGAGTATACCCTATCTACAGTGAGTATACCCTATCTACAGTGAGTATACCCTATCTACAGTGAGTATACCCTATCTACAGTGAGTATACCCTATCTACAGTGAGTATACCCTATCTACAGTGAGTATACCCTATCTACAGTGAGTATACCCTATCTACAGTGAGTATACCCTATCTACAGTGAGTATACCCTATCTACAGTGAGTATACCCTATCTACAGTGAGTATACCCTATCTACAGTGAGTATACCCTATCTACAGTGAGTATACCCTATCTACAGTGAGTATACCCTATCTACAGTGAGTATACCCTATCTACAGTGAGTATACCATATCTACAGTGAGTATACCATATCTACAGTAATAAATGATTTCAACACACACAAAATTACACAAATTAATTTCAACAAGTTTTTGTGGTATTATATAGGATCAGACATTGCCATTTTGTATGAGAAAAATTGAGCAAATGTGGACATTTTCAATTTTGCGAAGAGAAAAACTTTGCATCAAGGTTAGTTAATAAGTCGTAGTGTATTGGTAACTGATTCTAGTTCCTTTTTATCACTTGACTGAGTTCACTCAATCAACACTTTACCTTCTAACTAACTGCTACAAAACATTTGATTTTCACAATGATGTTCATCAGTATTTTAATAGTAAAGAATACAAAATAAGCCTTGGGGAATATATTCTCTCTTTAAGCCAAAAACGAATCGGACTCAATAATACTGAGTTATAAAATGCCTTCTCCAGCCCATTTCTTATCCAGATTAATGATAACACTGACTTGATGGTCGAGCCTATCGCCTAGAGTGTGATGCATATGCTGTATTTGTGGAGAAAGTGTCTTTAATCTTAGCTCTAAATACAAAATGTCATGAATTTTAATGCAATTGTGAAATTAGTGAAATTAAAACCCTCGTGAACAATCAATATTAACCCTTTCACCCCTATGTAACTTTAGTAGACTCTACCATGCATTGAAATGGATGAGTCCATTATGGTCTACAGTAGTGAAAGGGTTAACAACTATACAGTATTAAAACGATATCTCTGTGAATTTAGTGACACATTGTCGACAGGAACTATCACTCTTTCGGCCATAGCTTGACAAAGGAACTAGCTAGATATAGGTAGCTAGTTTTTAGATGTAGCAAATTGTAAGGCAGGACGTTTGTGTTAAAAAATAAATGTTCATATAATTATCATAACACTGTAGTGTTTTAAGAAGGGAAGATAATGTTTTTAATTTCTTGTTTTCTTGTTTCAGTATTAATGATGTTGCTGTGACTGGCGAAAACTCATTCTATTTCACCAATTTTTTAAATTCTCGAAGTCACTTTTGGGGATCATTAGAAATTTATATGATGTTACCTCTTGGAAGTATATCCTACTTCGATGGGAACTATTACGAAACTGTCGAGGAAGGCTACTTCATGCCTAATGGTCTGGCACTCACACTAGATAAAAAGTAAGTCACAACAATCGGCAAACGTTTTTCAAACTTTACTTGATGCTGGCTTTTAAAGACGTCATTTATGTTTGTTTGTGTTTTACGTCCTATTAACATCTTTCTTCATTAAGGACGTGCCAGATTTTGGCGGTGGTTTGGTTTGTTTGTGTTTTACGTCCTATTAACATCTATCTTCATTAAGGACGTGCCAGGTTTTGGTGGTGGTTTGATTTGGTTGGTTTGTGTTTTACGTCCTATTAACATCTTTCCTCATTAAGGACGTGCCAGGTTTTGGTGGTGGTTTGGTTTGGTTTGTGTTTTATGTCCTATTAACATCTATCTTCATTAAGGACATGCCAGGTTTTGGCGGTGGTTTGGTTTGGTTTGTTTGTGTTTTACGTCCTATTAACATCT